CATCGTCTTTCACTCCATGGATATGCTGTGATTTTTTTTTTTATGCGGAATTCGACGATGTTCATTGCGCACACAGCTAGATCTGAAAATTATTGCAGTCCATTTTCACGTACATTTATTTGCACTTGTAGGGACCCAACGAAAGTGTTAAAAAGCAAGAACATCGCACAGCGCCATTTTTTGAGGGCAGCGTTTTGGCTCTCAGTGACGTGACGTGGGGCGCGTTGTTGCGGCGTGCGGGAAACTGTGTGTACAACTAGCCGCACAGCTTCAATTAGAGAGAGAGGAAAGGATAAACGGATGCATAAAGTTTCAACGTGAAAACTTTCACGCCCGAATGCCCTTTCATAGTGACTATAAGCGTGACCTCGTTTAAAAAGGGTATCAGCGCGGCTGGGCGCTTAAGTTTTCAGGCTGATCGTCACATCAGGAATGCACCGCACCCTCCGACGCGCGCTAGCTTACGCGCGCACCAGTCAGAAGGGTAGTAAGTAGCCAGCGAAGATTCGCCAATCTTTCCGATCAGCAAACTTGGACTTTGCTGCCCGGGAAAATTGCCTCTAGCGCAATCGATCGACCATGAGCGGCGGCACGCCTCTCGCTCGAATACAGCGATCCACATCACAGTCGATGCTTCTGCGCCAGCAAGCTGCGAGCCGGCAAGAAGGCATGCGTGTAATTTCATCACGAAATGCACTACGCTTCGGCACTACTCTTCAACGTTTTTATTTGTTGTTGTTCGTTTGCTTGCTTTTGTTCGTTATCGCTGTCTGCTAACACTGCGAACGGCACTCTCTGCCGACAGGAGTGTTGCCAGGTAAACTAATCTGGAGAAGTAAAGACAGTCGCTAATTACTGCAGCTACGAAGGCGTCCTTTTAGAACAGCAGTCAATTTTGTATATTGCCACGTTTCATTTCTGAAGTTTTGTTATCGCCCCAAAACATTACACAATTCTCAGCGCAGACCGCGCCTGCAGTTTTCGAGAAGCTTCCGGACTGTAGTAGATCATTTCGATAAGATCGTGCCCACTCCGCGAACTTTACAGATTATTCTGAAACACTCGTCACCGCCAGCGATGACGCTAGAACATTCGATGGCAAGAGTATAAATGCCTACGCACTTCGCCGCTTGTCAGTAGTTGATCGACGGCCGACGCTCCGCTCACTGTTATCTGTGCAAGACTGCTACTGTAATCGGACATTCCGTTTACCGAGCACAGGTTCGCCCAAATAAACGTTTAAATCCCAACATAAAGTCTTCTGTCTTCGGCCACGTCACGACCCCGTGACAATATACGCAGTAGTATTATATTCAACAGTCTGTGTGTTGTTCTTTGGTGGCTATATTCTGTCGGAAAGCACGCGCACGCATTGCACAGTATTGCACAAGTTATCCGTTAAACGCTGCCGTTGGCATAGCCAGGTAAACGAGAAAGGCTCCAACACCCGTCCCAGTTTTTTCAAAGTTTTGTATGTGTATATGTGCGCGTACAAACACGCGCGGGAACATACATAAAGGGTGCTCGAACTCCCACCCCCTCCTCGCTTAAACCAACACATCGAATATCGAGCAGTTTCATGACTGCGCACTAACTACTCTCTTAAAATACTTTCTTATATACTGAGCTCCCTCGACGCTAAACAAATATAAATTATGCAATGAAAACATACGTTATGCTTCTCAAAAACGCCAGGCCTGCGCGGAAGGCGCAGCACAGTCACAGCGAAATCTAGAAGAGCGGCCTTGCAGAGCCTTTTCTAAACACTCCTTGAGTAACTACTGCTAGCACACTTGCTTTATACCCGCTACGGCATTATTAATAAAAAGAATTTGGGCAGTAGGCCGGCTTGTTTCTTGCTGGATCCTTTCATTTGTGACTCTCACCCACTAAGGGGGATCGGCCAAGAAGCCGGTGTTTAATGCAACTCAATACCTTTAGGTTATCCAGGCTAAAGAAATAGGATTACTTTGTTTTGACTTGGTGGGATTAATTTGGCACAATGTGAAAAAAGGTTAAGAAGAGAAATAATAGAATTTGTTGAATATCTGAGGTGTAATCGTTATATGAAATTCTTCTGAAGGTTAAATCATTATAGTGTAATAGCTAAATAATAAATGTTAGATTGGCTAGTAAATATTGAGGGCTGATCAATGGCTCAGCAAGGTAATCTTGTGTTACATAGGAATTCGCAGAGAGCCCCGCAGATATTCCTGTCACTGCGTCCCAATGAAGCAGCCCCAAAAGTAGGCCAGCATTCTCTATGCTATTTTTCGTCATTCTTCTGAGAAGCGTGGTATCTGCTAAACTTTTGTAAGGAATGTTGTACCAGTTGTTCATGCATTGGCTCACGACGATAAGTAATTATGGCTAAAGTGGGTATGAGCCACAGTTAATTGCTGAACAAGAACAAGCTTTTGTATGCTTCTAACGTTATGCTTCTAAAAAATACATTACTTTGACTGATGTTATGAAGGCTAACCTTGCAACTGTGTGCGTGCGCTTGTTCTTGAAAATGTGCGTGTTCCTTGTTCATCTTTATAAGTTTTACATGTCTGTGTCAATCTTAATGTTGTAACAAATAGAAGTCCTTGTCATGTTGCTGCTGTCATTTTACGGTGACGTGGGACCAGTCAAGCTGCCTATACGCAGCTTTTATCTCACAATCCTTGGTTTTTGTGTATGCTTTGCACTCATGTAACAAGAAAAAAAATTCGATTCCAGTTTCAAAAAAAAGCAAAGACTTCATTGTGACCCTGACCTGTCAGTTATTTTTCTTTTGTCAACCTACGCCCCTCCGCAATTACGTTGATTCCAATAGTGGGCAAAGGCCACCTATATACCGTAAAAATTCAACTGTCAAGCACGTCACGCTGCGAGTTTTGCGAGGCCAGAGAAACCGTGGAACGTGTGTAATGGGAGAGTGACGGAGGTGGGGCTTCCAGACGGGGACGCTGCGTCGAAGCGAACGACGCTGCGTCCTCGAGGACCAACCTGCAGTTGTTCTCGATGACGAATGTCCTCGAGGACCAACTGCAGGCCGTCCGGTTTGCCGAGGCAGCCCCCAGACCTCAAGGGCTCGCGGCCGACGCCTAGGCCAGGATATTCGCCCAAATCACGAAAAACTTCAGCGGACTTGATTCGATTTGATTGAATCGACGAACAACTTTTTTTTATTGAACAGTGTCAAGCAACAAGTATCAGAAAAAAATTCTTTTTGAACCTACACGTCGTCATCGGTGCAGCATTTTTCAAAGCTCTGAACAAGTTTTCGCGTAAGACAGAGCTTTAAAAGGGACTGTAAATAACTTTTGGGCGTTCAAGGTTTCGATGCATCATCGCTTTCATCCTCATTATCATCAACACTTTCTCTCTACTTTTTATCACCCCATTTTTTACCAAACGCTGAGAAGAAGGTCAGTGAGTGCAACAACTTTATTCACCTCTTCAAAGACTGGCTTGCAACTATCACAACCTGATCCTCTTTCATTGGGAGCCTCTACACTGGGTTTCAGCCATAGGGATGTTTTATTCGCCGTTCAAGAATACATCACTGCGACTAAACGATTTTTTAGATGCGGAGCATCTTATACTCGCGCCTTGTAGTGCGCCGTCCGCGCCGTCCGCGCCGTCCGCACCGCTTCTCGAACATTCGACAGCTGACGCGCGCGCATGCGCCGTCGCGCCGTCGCCCACTCTTCCACCATCTGTGCATCCCTTCCTCCTCTACACACCGCGCGCGCTTCACTCCTCCACCATCTGTGCACCCTTCCTCCTCTACACACCGCGTTCGACATCTACAATTCTCCTGATTCTCCAGTGGACGCGCATGTGGCGTCGCGCTTCGAGAACATTCAACAACTGACAGTGCATGCGCCGTCGTGCTGTATATATACTCAAGGTCGGCGCTCGCTCGCTCAGTTGCCGCTCGTCGGTTGGTTTGTACGGCGCGTCGACGTCCAAGGTCGCGGTGAAATGAATTCCAACGAATCCACAAACACAATGATCGACGTCCCTTCAACCAGCGCCGCCCTTTCGCATACGTGTGTACGTGTTCACTCATTTAACACCCCCTCCTACAACCACGTTAACCAATTTAGCCATCGACCCAAGTAAGTCGCAATTTAACACCCCATTTCACAACTACGTTAACCAATTTAGCCATCGACCCAAGTAAGTCGCACTTTAACACCCCGTTAACCAATTATATGGTCCGCATCCTCCTCAGTGTTCCCCCGAGGGAAGCTGCGGGCAATTTTTTTGCTAAACTACTGTCTCACTATTTTTCTTCTTTTTTTTTGCAAACTTGATATCGGTATTTCAAATCAAAATTAAGTTACAAAAAATTTGTAGGAATGACGCATTGCTGAAAGTTTAGGGCAAATTCACCTTATGATCAGCCAATCCCCTTCTTTGGGTACGAGCCATTTGCACAGGGAAACAACAACAACAACAATAACTTTATTGACGATCCGGAATAAAAAGGGAAGTGGTAGCGGAATTAAGGCAAGACAGTAATAGCAGGTCAGAAAATTGATTCAGCCTGAGCTCTCAGTTTTTCTGTCATAATAAACCTCTCTCTCTTCTCCTCACGTCATAACTCGTACCAAATACAGAGGATTGGCCGAAGAGAATTTTTCCAGTATTTTGTCTTGTATTTTTGTTTATTTGTTTTCTTGCTTGTTTGTTTTTGCCTGTTTGTTTGAGCCTTACAAAATACGGCACATACCACTCTTATTCGAGTGCCGAGGTCGGGCGGGTTCTAGAAAACGAAGAAGTGCGCGAGCACGCGCACTGGGGGCAGCTCGCGCACTCGGTACCCGGCCGAGCAAGCCGCCGCCGCTGAAGGCACGCGTTGCGAGAATCGTCCGAGGCCCCGTCACCGAGCGCCGGGTTCCGGTGAGTGCACTGCGGGGACTCCTGAACCTCGGGTCCGGGCGCGCCAGCACCGCTGACTAGCAGCGGACTCCGGGAGGCAGAGCCGCAGTTCGACAGCTGCCATGGCCGCCACTCCGGACGAGCCGGCCATCGGCATCGACCTGGGCACCACCTACTCGTGCGTGGGCATATTCCAGCATGGTAAAGTTGAGATCATCGCAAACGACCAGGGCAACCGCACGACTCCGAGCTACGTCGCCTTCACCGAGACCGAGCGACTCGTCGGCGACCCGGCGAAGGCGCAGGTAGCCCTGAACCCGGAGAACACCGTGTTCGGTTCCAAGCGACTCATCGGGCGCACCTTCGATGATCCCAAGCTACAGGACGACCTCAAGCACTTGCCCTTCACCGTCGTCAACGAAAACAACGCGCCCAAGATCAAGGTGATTTACAAGGGCGAGGAGAAGGTGTTCAACCCGGAGGAGATTTCGGCCATGATACTGACCAAGATGCGAGAGATCGCCGAAGCGTACCTCGGTCAAAAGATTACGCTCGCCTGCGTCACCGTGCCGGCTTACTTCAACGATTCGCAGCGACAAGCGACCAAGGACGCCACCACTATCGCCGGTCTCACGGTGCCCAAAATACTGAACGAACCAACGGCCGCTGCCTTGGCCTACGGCCTGGACAAAGTAACCAGCGGCGAGAAGATCGTTCTCATTGTCGACCTCGGCGGTGGGACTTTCGATGTTTCCCTTCTCTCCATCAAGGACTCGCAGACGTTTGATGTGCTCGCGACGGCGGGAGACACGCACCTCGGAGGCGAGGACTTCGACAGCCGCCTGGTGGACTTCTTCATCGGCGAGATCAAGCGCAAGTTCAACACAGACATCTCCGACAAGGCGCGCGCCGTGCGTCGACTGCGAACCGCGGCCGAGCGGGCCAAACGCATCCTCTCTTCCACCGCAGAGACCAGCATTGAGATAGACGCCCTCTTTGAAGGCACTGATTTCTACACCAAGATCACACGCGCCCGGTTCGAGGAGCTGTGCCTGGACCTCTTCAAGAGCACCCTGGGGCCGATCCAGAGGGCGCTGGATGACTCAAAGATGGACAAGATGAAGGTCAATGACATCGTCCTGGTGGGAGGATCAACACGTATTCCCCGAATACAGAAGCTCGTCAAGGACTTCTTCAACGACAAGGAGCTCTGTTTTAACATAAACCCGGACGAGGCGATCGCCTACGGGGCTGCCGTCAGCGCCGCCTTGTCGGCCGGCACCAAGGATGAAACCATCAAGGACGTCAAGCTTCTGGACGTGGCACCGCTGTCTCTAGGCATCGAGACGGCGGGTGGCGTCATGACAAAGATAATCAGCCGCAACACGAAGGTGCCGTGCAAGACTTCAAAGCCGTTCACGACGTACTCTGACAACCAGACGGGAGTCACTATTCAGGTCTATGAAGGGGAGCGGGCCATGACCAAGGACAATCACCATCTCGGTCGCTTCGAGCTGACCGGCATACCGCCGGCCCCACGGGGTGTGCCTAAGATCGAGGTCACCTTCGATATCGACCACAACGGCATCCTCAACGTGTCGGCCAGGGACGAAAGCACGGGGCATGCCAAGTCCATCACTATCACCAACGACAAAGGTCGACTTTCCCCGGCCGAGATCGAGCGCATGCTCAAGGAGGCCGAGTTGTACCGACTGGAGGACATTGCATTGAGGGAGCGGGTCGCCTCGAAGAACTCGCTTCAGAGCTACGTGTTCAGCGTCCAGCAGGCGATCAAGGAAGTCGCTAGTGACAAGATCTCAAGCGAGGAGAAGGAGAAAGTGCTGGAGAAGTGCAAGGACGCCAACGAGTGGCTGGAGGAGAACCAGAACGCGCCAGCCGGGGACATACAGGCCAAGCTGAAAGAGGTGCAGGAGGTCTGCTCCCCACTCATGATAAAGATGCATATGGGCTGAACCAAACCAAAATGGCGGCGGCGTGCGCTTGCACTCATCGGCGACCGGCGCCCTCAATTGTCCCCGAAACGCCCGAGTGAAGAAACGCACAATCCTCCCTCTAAACCACGCGAGGCCCAACGTCCGCCGGTAGTAGTGGCAAAAATGTTTCACGAACGGACAGTCGTTTCGTGTTGCACACGGAAAGCAGCCCTGGCTGATGGACATACGAGGCGGCACTTTCCAGTCGGACGAACTTCCGCAGATCCAACATTAAATTGTTTAGCTCTGTCATTTTCCCGTCTTGACCTCTCTCCCTCTGTCTCGCAGACGTTCATGAACTGATTCTGCAGTTTGGCGCGCTTTTCAGAGCAGTGTTGCTCCGCCCAGGGACGTGTCTTTTCACTACAAGATGGTAGATTAGGAATAGAAGACAACTTAATTAATCTATTAAGCGCTGAGCGCAGCTAGTCGCAATACATGACGAGACACATTTGTTACAATGACACAATGACTTGTCAGCCTTTCACACATTCCGTACTTTTTGTAGGAACCACCTCCATGGGCGCAACACACTTTTCTTTGCGTAATCCACCTATCTAGCCGACTAAGTCTGGGTGCAGTCGCGATCATCTTGTTAACATGGGGTAAACCAAAATTAGTATGGGAG